AATTTTATTGAGAAACAAATAGCAATGAGACAGTTTCAAACCAAATTGGTAGGACAGTTTCAATAATTAACACATTGCATACATTCTTCCTAATGGTTAATTGCTGTACAAGATGCAGACTTAATATCCTATTTACAAATACCATTAGAACAAATCCTCTATTCATTAAGAGAATGTAACTATACATCGATCCTAACCACTTTGAATACACAGATACAAAATGAAAATTCATCTGTGTCCCCCTTTTTTTGTTAAGTTCCTTCATTTAAATATTATAGGTGTGTAAACTCAGCAAAATATTCTAAAAGAGTTCAGAGGTCCATAATAGTATTGGGTCATCTGCTTCACTGGCAGTGTTAGACATTGCTGACCTGAGTCCCCCACAGCTCAACATAACAGCATGGCTTTACTTCTTATACTTTGTTTTTATACTTTTCTGCTGGATGGTTAAGACCAAGGTAAAGCAGGACCTATGCAACAAGAGTTGTAGCTTTTGGGTCTGATAAGGTCAGTGAAATACCCTCAGGATTTCATCCCTTACCTTTCTGTTGTAAATTTGTACTTTATCATTATACTTGTTGGCTCTGATTAATAGCACAGAATGTGCAGGTGTACAAAAGCAGCAAAATATGTTCTGGTCCCAAGTTTATGCTCTGTCTTGTTTTATGTATATTTACCTGAGCATCACGGAGGGTAAAAAATAAGCTTCCTTTTGATATTTCTGATAGAAGTAGCCCAATTCAGTACAGTGGCACATGAAAAACCACATTTCCAGGTTTCAGAAGATCTCAAAAATAAATCATCAAAGCCAGGCATGGTGGCACACACCTATAATCCCAGCACTTGGGAGGCAGAGGCAAGAGAACTGCTGTGAGTTTGAGGCCAGCCTGGGCTACAAAGTGAGTTCAAGGCTAGGCTGAACACATAGTGAGACCCTGTCTCGAAAAAAAAAAAAAACAAACAAACCCAGAAAGTAAAAGGGAATCATCAGATTACTCATGCATACATGATAAAGATGCCCCATTATAGTACAATACGTACTCACAACAGAACCGTGGGTGGGTGTATGGTGTATGGTGATAATGATGACAATGACTTTGACATTGGCTGTGGGAACCAAAGTTCCTGTGAAATGGAGCAAAAATCGACTAATACAGATGTGGAGAATGCAGACCTCCTTGATTCAGATGATGAAAACAGAAATAACAGTGTGAGTACAGATCTGACTAGTTGAAATGTGACGAAATGGCTGTGCAGCCAAATGGCACAGTCCAGTATTAGAACCAGGTCTGGAAATACAGCGAAGCTCTTGGCAGGGGTGAAACATATGGGCAGAACACCAGCCCTGCTGCTCAGTATCGGACATTGTAGCAGCTGAAGTGCTGCAAGATGCTGTGAAATACGCAAAGACTGAAGTGCAAGTGAAATGTTCTCTGTTCACTGTTAGCCATTTTTAAAATATACTTCTTATGATAACTCACTAGTCAAACTGAAAGCATACATAGGTCTGCTGTACTTAGCATAGGTTGCTCATGACGATCTCAGGAATGTAGAAGACTTAGGGAAAAGTGATGGGTCAAAATATGACATCAAAATTTTGCCCTTACAAGTAGGAAGACATTATATATTCAGTTTAGACATGTATCCTGGAACTCAGCTATCAGGTCCTTATTTGTACAGTAATAAATGAATGATGCTGTGAAAAGACTTATTGCTCCCATCTCCCAAACTAAGTGGACCATGATATTTGACGTTTGGTTTACTGCTTTCCAACCGATGTTACATTTGCTAACAGCACACATTGAACAGAGCAAGAAGTGTACACACGCACAAAGCAGAAATTCCAAGTGAAATGTTGCGATTTCAAGACAGAATTGTGTAGCACAATATTTGAATTTCAGAAAGATACAGCATTGGCCTATTATATGGCAAAGAAAAGCAAACTGGTACTGTTGATGTCAACATTTCACCATGATGGAAATAGTGATAGAGAAACCTTGACAAAACGAAGCCTGAGAAGGAAACGTAGAACAGCAAAACCAAAGGTGGAGTACATGTTGTTGACAAGTTATGCAGCAACTCTGATGTCACTGGAAACACAAAACATTGGTCAATGGTTGTGTTTTACTTGATCCTGAACACATGTGGCACAAACAGTTTGATAGTTTATGAAGAAAATAAGTGCAAAATATCACGGAGAAATTTCCTTAGAGAATTGGGACTTGCTCATAGGAGATCATTTGCAGCCGAGGAAAACCAAAATGTTTCTGCCATAAGTGTACAAAAAGATTATGGAGTACACTGGTGAGTTGGTAGGTGAACAGGCAAGCACAGTATCACAAACACCTATTGTGACAGTTGGAAAGCGAAAAAGATGTCAGCTGTGTTGGACCAGAAAGTACAGGAAAGCAAAACACGTGGCCATCACTGTAAGCAGTATTTGTGCGTAGAGCACAAAGTTGTCATTTGTGAAGAGTTCACTGGGTGTGAGAGTGAAAGCAAAGCTCATTTCCATGGTATACTTTTGTTTGTTTGCACTGTAGTTCACATAGCTTTTAATTTCTGATGTGTTAGGTTTTGTAAGCAAGTAAACAACTGATATGAAAATGATAGTGTCTATTCTAGACATAATACATATTAAGAATTTGATACTTTTTGTTAATATTTTATCCTCCTGTTATCTACACACTGCATAATATAATAACCTAACAAAACAGCAAGACCACTGAGATATCAGTTACATCCTACAAAAAGGCCAGGAAAGCAACAGACATGTGCTGTCATTGTAAGCAACATGCGTGTATATTACATGCTGTTGTCATGTGTGCAGACTGCCTTAGGTGTGATAATTAAAGCAAAGATTACTTTTATTTTGTAGCGTGCTATTGATTTTTTCATTGTAGTTCATATGGGAATTTATTTATGCTCTTTTAGATTTTTGTACACCAAAAAAACAGCTAATGTTAAAAATTTTGATATTTTTAATAAAGTCAATAAATATTAAAAATGCAGTACTTTATTTTGTGTTATTTTTGTCCTTCCACAGGCCTAACAGATCCATGTTGTGTGCCTTGTGCTGCAAAGGCTACAGCCAAATCAGGTCCCATTTAGGCTTCCCTAGCAGGGTATGTCCGTTGCATTTTCTGCTTCTTAGAGTAGAAACCTCATTGTCAACTAGTCTGCCTAACACATGTTACTGTCTCCAGTGGATTACAGAATAGACGATGGCCGTGTGTGTGCACAGAGGCATTTCCTAGCTCAGCAATGAAGATCTCTTTTGGAGCACCAGACCCATCTAGAGACCTACAGCTTGAAAATCTTACAGCTGAAGTTTTAAAACACTCTTCACTTAAAGTGGAGTCTTCTGTCTGGGTTCTTGAGGTTGAGTCTAGGACCACTGATTGGAGCAGCACAGGTATTTTGTGGCAGGCATGTGAATGTTGATCTGACATCTTTCTTCTTCCTTTTTTCAGATAACAGTACTGAATTTTGGGACACAGATATAAAATGGTTTTCTCTCTTGGAAAGTAGCAGCTGGCTTGACATAATCAGGTATCTAAACTATTACTTTGCTCATGAATTATACAGTTGTCTGACTTAGGGTAGTAGAGAAATTGATACATAATTTAACTGTTTGATAATTCATATTTTAAATATTCTGGAGTTTATTTGTTTTTGTTCTTTTGTCTTGATTTTTGTGTTTTTTAAAATGTATTTTAGTACAGGGTCTACAGGGTCTCATTATGTAGATTGGACTCATATTGATTCTCCTATTTTCAGCCTCTTCAGTGCTGGGATTACAAGTGTGCACCACCATGCCCAGTCTCTCTGGCCACCTCAGCATGCTAGGGGATGGGGCTGGTGTGACATGTGGTGTGGGGATCAACCCCTGGTCCCTGTGCTTCCCTAAGCAGCCACCTAGTCCACTGAGCTATCTCACCAGCCCTTCCCACATTTAAATATTCTTGATCCCATATTCTATACAGGGCTTTGCTGGATTTCACATTTGACAATGATTTCTGTGCCCATTTGATAGAAATTTACCAACAATGCTACCTGCGTACAAGGAAGCATATAGATAAGACATGGAAAGGCTGTAGGAAGGGGCGTAACAACCCAAAGTTGCAGTTACGGCAGCAGCGCTGGCTTGCAGGAGGAAACTGGGAAATGAGAATGCACAAGTTACTTAACTAGCTTTGTGCTAAAAACCTTCTCAAATGTTTTATAATTTTAAAAATCATGCCCAATGTTAATTAGCTGTTTTTAGTTTTGGAGTTAAGCTAAGAATCCCAGAGAACAGTTTATTGCCTTTCCTAATTAATGTATTGAGTAGCTCCTCTTGATTGCCATTAAATAGAGATTATGACAAAGCAAAATTTGAAGCACGAGTGGTGAGCAAGTATGAGAGAGGAGTCCCGTGTGGGCTCAGTGTGAGGAAGGAGAGGGCCATTCCTGGCCCCTGGTGTGGTTCTCTTTCTCTCTTCTGAGTGACTTCTGTGAGGAGGGGCTCAGCCCTCAGCTTTCCAGAGGCTGCTGCTTACCCCTGTTTCATGTATAATGGTGAATAGCGGTAAATGTAAAAGAAAGCACTTCCTTATGCAGGGTGGACAGAAAAGGGTGAGACCCTTGAGCCAGGCAGAGGGTCCAGCTATGGGGATTGAGGGCTGTGGTGGGAGGGCAGGAATAGAGAGCCAGCTGCAGACAGCATAAGGAAAAGGACAAGCCAGAGCTGCCACCCTCTGGACAGTGGTCACAGATTCAAAAGGAATAGCATAAGTAGAGAGGAACAGAAAGCATTGCTGGGTAGACTGGGTCATTTCATGCACAGTGATGCCTTCCGCTGACCACTGTGAGTAAGTATGGACACAGCACATCCTCCAGGAATGGATACGTACAGCTCCCTCCAGGACTCACTTCTGGCATAGATTGGATGTTTTATCACGAATTTCTAGTTTAGGAATTAACCTAGAAGAGGGGTGTGTATGTGTGTGAATGAGTGTGTGTGTGTGTGTGTGTGTGTGTGTGTGTCTTTGTCTGTGTCTATGTCTGCGTCTGTCTGTGTGGGGACTGAACCAGGGCTTACAAACTAAGCTACATCCTCAGCTTGTTTTCATTTTGAGCATTTTGAGCTAGCGTCTCAAATTGTGGAAGTTGAGCTCAAACCTGGGATCATCCTGCCTTACCCTCCCAGGGCACTGGTATGATAGACGTGTGCCCTTTCACCCAAGCTACTTAGGAATATTTTGTATCAATTTTGGTATTTTCTCCTAAAACTGTCTAGTTTCTGAATTTTAGTTTAGTTTTTTGTTTTTGTTTTTGTTTTGTTTTTGTTTTTTTTTGTTGTTGTTGTTTGTTAACACTGAATTAGCAAAGATTGTATATATTCAGGATATATTCTGCTCATTTGTGGGGCTGGAGTTCTAACCCAAGGCCGCACACACATGCTGAGCAAGTGCTGTATCCTGACGTCCCCTCCTGGCCAAGTACGCAGTGTAATGACTCAGTGTACTTGTAGATTATGTGACGCTTGCCATGGTAAAAATCCACAGATCCATCCCCATCTGTGCTGTACCTTAGGTCTCCAAAACTGATTTAATTAAAATGGAAAGTCTATCTTTTGACGAGTGTCTCCCCGCTTTGTCTACTCGTCATTCCTTGAGGACCACCGTTCTACTCTGCCTTGAAAGTTGAGCATGTTTCCATGTGATATGAAAGGGACATGGTGCAGCATTTGTCTTTCTGTGTCTTGCTTTTCACTTAACATATTTCCTCCAGGGTCATCCATTGTCCCTACAGTGATAGATCTCTTTTTAATGTTTTGTGTTCACACATGCTGAGTACTCTTCCGTCTTACATACACACACTGTTGCACTTGTAAGTTACTTTGTCCATGAACCCTGTCTTGGCGATCGTGAGCAGAGCCTGAGTGAACATGGAAAGACGGGCAGGCATCTGAGGTGCTGGTTCGATCCATATACTGTCTACCCAGAATCTTTTTCTAATAGGTGTGAGTAGCATAGGAAGGAATTATTTTCTTTTCTGGATATTTTTTTGCATTAAAAAAATTAAAAATGAGAAAACAAAATAATTCAGACTATCTGTAAAGTACTTACTATTTACGGTGCCAAGCTGCAGAACTAATGCTCCTGTTTCTTATCTCTTGCTTATTTAGACGTTGTCTGAAGAAAGCAATAGAGATCACAGAATGCATGGAAGCACAAAACATGAACATTCTTCTATTAGGTAATATATTTAAAGCACGAAGGATAGTTTTCATGTTTTTCACTTGAGATACATTCTTGTATGTGTAGCTTAGTGAGATCCATTAATTCAGATCAAATGTGTCAAAGGGAGCAAAGTGTAGAAATGCTCCCCACTCCTTCCTCCTTACCCTTGGAAACCCTTCCCTTAGATTTTAGAGTTACAGCTTATTTTTATTTTTATTTTTATGTATTTTGTACATGGTCTCATTACACAGCTCAGCCTCATAGTGATCCTCCTGTTTTCAGCCTCCCCAGTGCTGGGATTACAGGCCTGCACCCACATGCCCAGACTTGGTGGCTGGCTCAGTGCACCCATGGGTGGGGCTGCTCTGGCATGTGGTGCTGGGAATCGAACCCCAGTCCCTGCACTTGCCTAAGCAGGTGTTTAGTCCATTGAGATACTTTGCCATCTCGAGTGTTACAGCTTAAAAGAAAATTCCCTCACTTGGAACTTGGCAGGCCTGTTCACAGCCCAAGAAGAAATTATTTGATTACCAAAGCTCACATTTTTTAATGTTTTGAATTTTGCTTGTTAACCAAGAAGATTAAAGTTACAGTATTTCGGTAATCCCTTTTACTTAAAGAGACTCATGCATTTATTTGCATCTGTGTTTTACAACTTTGTGTGGTGGCCATAGCAAATTAGTGGTCTTTGATTTCCTCTGTGGGGTTAATTTGTTATACACAAGTGCTAAAAATATTCTGATATAAATATAGCAGTGATATAAATATTCTGACTGTGTAAAGCAAGTGGAAATCATCGCATCTCTAAGTATCACCTGCTGTTTAGATTTTTTTAGTTTTTTTTTTTTTTTTTTAAGAATCCTGCCTGTGATCCTGCCTCAACTCCCCATGTAGCTCAGACTATAGGCTTGCTTTTTAGACTATTTTGTTTCTTACAGCCCCACATTACAAATGAAGCCGATTGTCTTCTTTTTAAGCTAGGTGCCCAAGCTTTTTTCGTTCCTGTGGTGCTTCCCTTGGCAGTTGGCAGCCTCAGGACCGCCTGCTGCTGGCTCTCAAGAGTTGAGTGCCCTCATGGAGCACCTGCCATGTACAGAGCTCAGCGCACCTGCCTTCGAGGAGTCTGCAGCTAGCCCTAATAATACTGACAGTGCCTGAAAAGGTAGAGAGATGAAGCCGGGTGTGGTGGTTCATGCCTTTAACCCCAGCACTTAGGAGGCTGAGGCAGGAGGATCACTGCAAGTTTAACTCCAGCCTAGGCTACAAAGGGCCAGCCTGAACTGCATAGGGAAACTCTGTCTCAAAAAGACAAAAAAATTATTAATAGTAGCACCATTCTACCTGGGGACATTTTTAAAAAGCAACTTGAGTCGCACTTTTCTCTGCCTGGCCACGCTCTTCTCCATCCATCCCTCAGGGAACTCAGGCCCTTTTTTCTTTCATAACAGAAATCCCTGGATTTCCCTAGCTAGATCCTTAGCTTTTAGGATCTTAAAATTCTAAGACCAGTACATGGCTACAGACGCGTATTTGTGTTTGCTGTACATCATGAACGTTAACAAGTATATCAGTGGACTTCCTATTGTTTGGGCTTCATAAGGTGTGTTCCAGGTGGGCACTGGAAATAAGCCAAGGAGAAATTCTTCTCTAAGCAGGGAGAAGCGAGTGCCTCTCATCCATCCTTACACAGAAAAGGAAAGAGCCCTGGGGCCAAGAAGAAGATAATTTTGGTGCAAAGCAGAAATAGGAAACTTTCTGCAGAGCAGAATTAGTGTCGTCTTAAAGGCGCACTGGGATGAGTCTGACAAGCAGCTGCAGCCCAGAGCCATTTCAGTAATGGAGGCTTTGCCCCCAGGAGGGGAGGGCTGTAGACTCAGCCTTCAGCCTGGCAGTCATCACTGGGTGGGGGTTCTACTGTTGTTGTATGGCACATGTGGGCGCCCATCTGCTGAAAGTCGACTTCAGTGCTAAAACTGTAGTTAGCACCACCTTGTGCTGACGCGTATACTACTCGGCTAGAGGCACTTGTCTTCCTATGTTTTTATTGTCACTGGTCCTTGCCTGTAGGGGCTCTTAGTAGAGGCCATGGTGGTGGGAAGCTAGCTTCAATTGCACAGGTGAGAGCGCTGCAGTTCTTTAACACTTTATGTCTCCTTCCTATTGGCACTGCTGCTGGGACCCTGCTAGAGGAGAGCGCCTCCGACCTCTGCTGCCTCCTTTCTTCTCTGGTTCAAGTGATGATGGACCCCCACTGTAGAACCCGGACTGGTTTCCAGAGCCTCGTCCAAAAGGAGTGGATCATGGGTGGCCACTGTTTCTTGGATCGCTGCAACCATCTCCGCCAGAGTGACAAAGAGGAGGTAAGTGTGTCCCATCTCCCTGTTGTAGGGACCATTGCAGGCCGTGGGAGAGCTACTCAGCCAGCCCCGCCTGATACCTGCCCTGAGGTGTGGATTTCTGCTCACAAAGTACAGGCTGCTCAGACAGGAAAAGTAGAGTTGGTTCACTGTGTGGTTAATGTGAATGCTCTGAATGACAGTGAAACCCTTTCTGGAGGAAAGCTGACAGCTGTGGTCAGAGTCCTCTCTTCTGAATGGCCCCGTGAGGGCTGCGCATTGCAGCAGCTTGTATGGGTTGCGCCGCAGCCCTGTTTGCTTCTGTGAATGGCCTTGGTCCGGATGGGCCTCTGAAATCGGGTGTGGGAGAGTTAATGTTTTATTTTTTGTTTTTCTGATTGGGAGTGTCATTTTTATTATTTTTTTTTCTTTTTAAATTTTACTTATCTATTTTCTTACATTCTTTTTTATTTTTATATAAAATAAAAATATATTATGTTCATAACTTTCATACGATTGACATAGAGAGCAATAAAGATTGTCATGCATGTCATATATACACACATCAAAAAGTCTCATTGAATTAAAAAACAAAATGAAGGATCAAGGACAGTGGTCTGAAACCTACTCCTAGGATTTGAGGATTTAACAAATAAGTGTGAAATTTCAGACCACAGCAGTGTTGACAACAAAAAATGATGAATACAAGAGCACATATTTTCACATTAAAAACAGTAAAAGCTACATAACCAAAATCCACACAAGAATTGTTTTAGTTCTCTCCCAGGATGACACCATCCCTACCAGGGACTGAAGCAGGCCAGGGCCTTCTCCCTGAGCTACATCCCCAGCTCTGCCTTCCTCCTGCCTCCCACATTTATTGACTAACTGTGGTGCTGGGAACTGAACCCAGAGCCTTGTATGTGGTAGGAAGGCACTGTACCACGGAGCTATATCCCCAGCGCCACCTCTCCCCCTTTTAAATTTTTGATAAAGGGTCTTATTAAGTTGCCCAGCCTTGGCTTAAATTCAGTTCTGCCTCAGCCTCCCAGAGTTCTGGGAATACAGGCATGCTCCACTTGTCTAGGATACAGCTTCACAAGCTCCTTGGCTGCTTTATTGATTACTAGTGGGGAAAAATGAAAATTGGCCCTCTTTGTTTGCCATCATATCCTTATTCCCACCCCCACCCCCCAACCAGGGATTGAACTCAGACCCTTGCACTTGCCAGGGAAGCACTTATTCTACTGAGCCATCTCCCTGGCCCTAGCCATCATATCCTTGTAGCAAGACTTGTGGCGTTTTCTTTTTTGTTTTGTTTGTTTGCTCCACTTTCAGTGTGGGGCCTTGAGCATGGATGGTAGGCAAGCACTCAAGTGCTGAGCCACAGTCTAAACCTTTTATTGAATTTTGAGGTGGTCTCTCTGAGATGCCCAGGCTGGCTTCAAATTTTTGATTCCCCCTGCCTCAGCCTCCTAAGTAACTGGGATTACAAGCATGGGCCACTGCTCCTGGCTACGGTTTTTCTTAGATAATCACACCTGTCTGTGGTTCAGAAGAGCTTAGCACAGTAAGCCGTGGGAGTAGAAAGCCATGACTCCTACCTTCATGGTAGGCAGACAGCGGACACTGCATGGAGAAAAGTGTTGTTTTCGTTTATCGTGAGAAACAAGGAGTGACAAGCAATGAATCTAGTGGGAAAAGGGAAGTCCTGGTTCTTGGCCTTTGTGAGTCACTCATACTTTCTGAGCCCATTTCCTGACAAGAAGGTTTATGTATCTTTCATTCTGTTTAGTGTTACTGTACCAAAAATGGAGTGTGAAATACAGCTGCCTTACAAATGGTTCTTAGCACTAATGCATTGGAGTGTTGAAGGAAAACTGGCACAGAATTTGTGATGTAACCACAGCACAACTGGCCGTTGGTCCGGCCTTGAACTCACAGCGCCTCTGCTTTCCTTGCTCTGGCTGAGATCGTGGCAGCACAGACCTTACAGCAAGGATAGACTGTTGTGGAGCTTGTCATACCTCTCAGGCAGGGTCACCAGTGAATCAAGGACCGGCACTTGGAGGCCATCGGTTAAAAACATGTTAGGAACTCATTCTGGTGCCTCTGCATCTGTCTCACCCCTTTCTTGTGGCCTTCATGGGACTGGGGGTGGTGGTGGGCGTTCTCATCCAGCTCGGTCTCCAGGACTGATACTGACTGACTCGGTACATGGGCAGACAGTGGCGTGGATGCCTCCGCCCCAGTTTTTATTGATATTTAAAATAATAATCACTACTGAGTAGTTTTGCATTGAGTATAGTTTTTACACTACTACTAAGAATGGTATAAACCAGGTATGGTAGCACACGTATGTAATCGCAGCACTTGGGAGACTGAGGCAGAAGGATTGCCACAAGTTAGAGGCCAGCCTGGGCTACATAGTGAGTTCAGGGCTAGCCTATATTAGTGAGATCCTGTCTCATAAAGAAAAGACAAAGAATAGTCCTGTTTTGGTGACAGATGCTATTTCTTTTAATTGGGGATTAGAAGTAGTGTTCAAAAGGAATTGCAAATGCTCATCTGTTAATGCTGGTCCATATGAGAGTGTACATACTTCGCCTTTGAAATGTCCTTGGCGCAGAAAGCTGCTGCCAAATGCTGATACTAATTAATGAGCATGTGTTTCAGCTGAGCATGTTTTTAACTTGCGATGCAGTTTACTGTGTTTCCCAAGAACAGAGGGCTCAGAAGAGGTTACTGCACAGCTGTAGAGAGGCTGACCCTGGTCTGGGCAGTTCATCTTGGGTTCTCAGCTGCCAAGTAATATGTGTCTTATTTTCCTATAGGTGCCCGTGTTCCTGCTCTTCTTAGATTGTGTCTGGCAGCTGGTGCACCAGCATCCCCCAGCATTTGAGTTCACCGAGACTTACCTGACTGTCCTGTCGGATAGCCTGTATATCCCTATTTTTAGTACCTTCTTCTTCAACTCACCTCATCAAAAAGATACTAACATGGTAAGAGTCCCTCTTAGAAACCTTTACTGACAAAGCGGCATTTTACAAGTAGGGATGCAAAGGGATTGATGCTTAACATCTTACTTATTTAACTCTGATAATATACCAGGCACTGCTGTGTTTTTCAGGTTTTCACGCCTGGAAAGGTATTTAATCCTGTCCCATAGCTCCAATGGGTTATGTATTAGTATCCCCGAGGAAGCTGAGGCACAAAGCCTAAGGTCAGATAGTAAATATCTAAATGGGAATCAAGTACTAGAGGCAGAGCACTGAGCCAAATTGACCCCACCCGCAGCTCATGGTGCTGGCAATTGAGCCAGGACCTCGTGTGTGCTAGGCAGAGTCCCAGCCCTGAAATGTATGTGCACCCTCCCACCCCCTTTTGATATAAGCTCTCAGGCTAGACCTAAACTTGCAATCCTTTTGCTTGGCTTCCCAAGCAATTAGGATTGCAGGTGTGTACCACAGTGCCCAGCTAAAAGCTGTCCTTTTGAAAGAGGACAGACTAACTCAAAGTAGACTAAGAGTCCATTCTGCCCTCAGTTTGAAGTCTGGAGTTATTCTTATGAAAAGAAGACACCAGACAGACTAGAACAGCAGGCTTGAATTGCACCCTAGAGCCCCTCTTGAGGCTACACTTGGTCGGGTTAACTTTCTAAGCTAAAGTCGGTGTCTCTAACCAGACCTTTCCTGGCTGTCGCTTGCTTGAACTAGTAGGATTACCAGGTCCCTCAGTGAAGCAGGAATAACTAAGCCCAGATTTCTGAGTTAGACAGCCTTTGTTGCCATCCCCAGCCCTATAACTGACCAGCTTTGTGACCTGAGGCAGTTTACTTCTGTCTTCTGGGCTTCAGTTTCCTCAAACGTAAAATTGGAAATATAATAATCTTCCAAGGTTGTTCTGAAACTGCCAGCCCAGTGGCTAACATTTTACTGGTCCACTAAAGAGAAGTATCTTTCTTCTTCTGGCTCTCCCCTCACTGAGAGGTGTTAGTGAGTAACCACTGAGAGCTTCGGCCTTGAAGGGTAAGGTGCCATGAGTGCACAGTCTCCGGGCAGGCGGAGCACCCTGCCTGAATCCTGCTTCTGAGAATGTGTGTTTGCTTTCCTGAGCCCTCCTGGAAGCCATGGTGACTTGTGCTTGTCTTGGCAGGGCAGGGAAAGCCCGGATACACAAAGCAAGCCTTTGAACCTGCTCACCGTGTGGGATTGGTCTGTACAGTTTGAACCCAAAGCACAGATACTGCTCAGAAACCCTCTGTATGTGGAAAAGCCAAAACTGGACAAAGGCCAGCGGAAAGGAATGCGTTTCAAAGTAAGATGTCCATAGCTAAACCCTTTCATCTGTCTACCCACCATCCCCATATGTGAGATAGAAGTAACATGGATTCTGTCAATATCTATTTTATCCCTTAAAATGGTGGGCCGAGTTGTGACGGTCAAGTTGTCAAGGTCCATTAGAAAAATCCTTTACTTTGGGCAGATCTGCCTTGCCTGATGAGACATGGCCCTTTCTTGAATGTCACTGAGGACACTGCTGCCATAATCATGCTGCTTGGAGTCCTGCTCCTTAGCCACCCGTGTATGTGGTTAGTAAAGGAACATTGATCGTGTGGGTTCCAGAATATGCTGGTTCATGTATTTCATAGTAAGGCTGTTCTCACTGAGCTATGCCAGTAAGACAAAGCTTGGCAAACTCCTTCTGCCTAGGGATGTAGGTCTCTGTACAGGTGTCCTACAAAAGCAGCCCAGGATACAGGCCTGGCTGTGTTCCTGTCCTTGTAAACACAAGTACATGCCAGATTTGCTGGTCCGTGCTCTAAACCACATAAGTCAGAGCTTTCTTTCCCTCTTAGATTTTGTTCCTGCTCTTCTAGTTACTGCACTGAGTTACCCAACTGACAAATGGCTGTAAGTAACATTTCCTAGCTCTACCAGAATTTCTCACTGCCAGAGAAAGTAAATAAATCCTCCCCTGCCTGTTTGTGAGGGCTGCGAGGAGGCCAGCAGGATCTGCTGTTGAAGAGGCTTGGGAGTCAGTTGTGTTGGTCACTCAGAGACCACATCAGCTGCTGAGTGAGTTAGAACTGTCACTTTGCCCTCTTAGTTCTTCTAGGACACAGGGGATGTTTTCCTGATACAGTTCAAACCTTTGACCAGAATGGCTGTGAGCCACTGAACAACTTAGCCCAAGATCAGCTTTTCCCCAGTGTATTCTGCCCCCTGGTGGCTGCCTGCACAGTTCTCAGAACAGATCAGCCAGCATCATGAATGCTTGTTGGAAGTGCGGCTCTGACAGCTAGGCCTGCTCCACCTTTTAATAAGGGGTTTCATTTCCATCCTCAGAAGCAGGATTCCTGAATGTCTGTTTTCCTTTCAGATAGTGCTAGATGGCCTCTCCAAGAGAGCTTGATAGGGAAGGTTTAAGCCAGCGGGCTAGAAAGTTTCAGGCTGTAATAGATGAAGCACAATTGGGGTTAGGCAATAAGGAACTTAGAAGGCTTGGGGTAAGACCAGATGCCAGGCTGTGGAACCTGGCTGAGTGAACAGTTGGCCTCAGAGGCATATGTGGAAACAGGAATCTGGGCAGGCTGATATGAACTGAATTGCCACATGAGGGACATGCTTGGCTCGGTACATCTCAGCCACAGCCCTAGGTCTTCTCCAGTGTTAAACATGTTTTTCTCCTGTGGCTCATCTTGAATGTTGCATTCACTTAGGAGACTGGGAGGAAAGGGCTTCCAGGACCATATAGAGTTCAGTTAAAAGCACAGGCTCTGGAATCAGGATGGGTTTGAACAACTTTTATTACTCAGTTGCTGGTTGCTTTGGCAACAGATTTCTGGGCCTCAGTTATATAGTGGGGCATAATAGTGCCTGAGAAGTCCGTAAGTGAGTGCACATAAAGCACCAAGTACAGAAGCTCGCAGGCAAGAGATGCTCAGTGACTGTTCCTACATACTCCTCAGTGCCTGTCCTGACCTGCCCTCAGTACTGTGGCGAAGGCAGGCTGCTGATTCCTGGCTTTTGTCTGTCTTGTCACAGAGAGAGAGAGAGAGAATCTAAAATTCTGATCACTCCTGAGTTTTGTAGTATTTTGGAATGATTTAGCTTTTTTAAAATTTGCATTATTATTCCACTAATAAGGAAATATTTCCTTTGTAATTTTTTTTTAAAGACCCACTGACAAAATTATGTTAGATTATACAGCTAGCCTGAATTTTCTTTTTTAAAATCTATTCTTACTTTGCTTTTGTTTTGATTTTTGGTTTTTTAAGACAGAGTTTCCTATGTATTCCAGGCTAGCCTCAAACTCTCAGTAGCCCTCCTGTGCTCTCCTGTCTCAGCCTCCAGAGTGCTAGGATTATAGGCTCCACCACACCTGGCTCTGTTCTTATTTTGACTGGACATATAAGGAGCAAAAGATTTGAGAAAAACTACCTTCTTCACCATATTTTTTACCTTCTCTTCTGAGTATGAGGAACCCTTGACCAAATCACCCATCCTTACAACCCTCTCATAGCGCACTCCAAAGTATAGCACATTGCTTTGGCTGTAGAGAGAATTAACAAGGAGGTTGTCAGGCAAGAACATCTGGCCAACTTCAATGGTTTCTCCTGGCAAAATGTTCCCATCTACTTGTTTTTCTTGTCCAAAAGTCTTTATGACATTGGTTTAAACTCCCACTGGCTATCTGATAAGCTCTAAATTATTTTGTCCACACCTAGGATCTTTAGGTACAGCACACTTTCGTGCATATGTATAGAATATTGTACAAATTGAGTACCCCTGAAGGTCTCAAAGAAGAATCATTTGTTTCCTTTAAGAAATGAATAATGCCAGCACACACCTGTAATCCCAGCACTTACGAGGCTGAGGCAGAAAGATCATCTTGAGTTTGAGGCCAGCCTGGGTCACACAGTAAGTTCAAGGCCAGCCCAAACTCCATATCTTATCAATTAATAATAGAAAAGGAAAGAAAAAGAAATGAATGGGCATTCCCCCCCCCCCAAATTCTCCTAAATCATTAACCTGTTTTAAGTTAATCTGGTTCTTCAGAAGTACTTTATGTCCTTTGATACCCCCAGTCCAGTGGAAGAGGGAATCAAAAGCTTTGGGATTTTTGTTGTTGTTGTTTGTTTTTAAGTGTAGGAAGAATTTACTGAGAGAAAAAAAGCTTCTGTCTAGAGGGACAGAAAGTAGGTTGCCCACCAACCCCTCTTCACGGGTGTTTATTGAGCAAAGCCATGGGATGAGGCTGGTTTAAGGCGGGGACAGAGCTATAATCAGTAAGATTACAAGTATAGTCACTTAGATAATGTTGATCCAATGGCAAATGAAAGGATGGGCATGAGGTGGGACAAAATTCTGGTCAACCAATATGTATACAATAAGTGTAGTGACTAGGGTAATATTGATTAATGGGAATCAAGTGGGGAAACAAGTTACAGAGCAAGCTCACAAGGGCAGGCAAGGCCTTTCCTGGAAAGGTGGATGAAGGTGTGGTCCTCCACCCACAGTGATGGATGCCTACTTAGAATGTTAGTCCCTGCTGTTCATCCCCAGAGGAAGCATATGGGTGGGTAGTTCTTTTTCGTTAAGCCTGGCCTTCAGTGAATAGTCCTCCAGCCAGTTGTCTTTTTCACTACCCTCTCGAGGGCCCAGCCCTGTCTGACTGCCTACAGTATTCCTATCTTAGCTATCTATAATATTCCTCTCTGAAGACTAACTTTTATGAGGGGGCAAGAGTCGAAGACCGATTTGGCTATTTCCAGCTGAAGAGGGTCATAGTGGTGATCAGCAGTCAGAGATACACCAAAGGTGGTCTATCTAAAGGCCCTTAATAGACATCAGGTGTTCTTGTCTTTGATAGGTGTACAGCTTTAAGTCGAGAAGACAAGGCCTCAGAAACAATTAAGTATTCATGAGCCAAATAAGAAACAGGATAATTATGAATATAGCCATCAAAACTGTCTATCAGGAGAAGCCAGTAATAGCTTCCTATCAAGAGAAGGAGGGCTGGGGAGATGCAGTGCCTGCCTGGCAAGTGCAAGGACCTGGATTCGATCCCCGGTACCTGGACTGTATACCATGCCTGTCCCATACTGAGCTGGCCACCAGAACCGGCTATGGTGGCACACACCTGTAATCGCAGCCCTGGGGAGGCTGAAATAGGAGGATCACTATGAGTCTGAGCTGCATAGAAAGACCCTGTACCAAATAAATAAATAAATAAATAAATAAGGAGAAGGTCTAGAGAATTTCAGAATGCAACAATCTTAACCTGTTGGTTACTATCTTGAGCAGCTCTGCAGAAGGATTGGGAATGTGCACACATGTACGTTCAGCGTTTCTAATTGTGTTCCCTCATGATACTGTTAGACTGTCTAATGCCATCTGATTTTGGAGGCTGGCTTGCCACATTAATCTTTCTTCAGGAGACCAGCTGCAGTGTCATTTAAGGACCACTAAGTATAGGTAGTTAAGGCCTCAATGTATTGCATGATATCCTCTAACCTTAGTGAAGAGATAAAGATTGAAACCAAATAATACCATTGAAACACACTTCTAGACCGTCGATGCCATAGGTGACGTAAGTTTGCATGTTTGTCAATACTTTTGACATGTCTGCCTTGTCACTCTGTAAATCCCAGCATGTGTCTTCTTATCCATCCAGGGGTTAACCAAAGCCACAGATTGGTTCCACAGGACCAGTGCATGTCACTGGGGCTGCCTATCTAATTCCAGAGTGATCTATCCATCTATCTATCTATCTATCT